CTGGTAATAATAATGTTGCGAAACTTATATAAATTGTAATAGTGCTTTCTAAGAATGATGATAAAGTTGTGAGTCTTATGAAAATTTTCACCGTGTTTTTGAGTGAAAAAATGTACCCAGTATTATATAAATTATGATTATAGCGTTAAAAATGTTGCGAGCCTTAGATAAATTGTGATAGTGTTTTCTACTGATAAGAATGTTGTGAGTATTACATATATTGTGATATTGAATTCAAGTGATAATAACGTTGAGAGTCTTACATAAATTGTGATAGTTTTTTTCTAGTGATAATAATATCACGAATCTTACATAAATTCCGATAGTGTTTTCTGGGGTTATAATAATGTCGCGAGTCTTATATAAATTGTGAGAGCGTTTTCTGGAGGTTATAATATTGTGGGTATTATATAAATTTTGCTAGTGTGTTTTATTGATAATAATTTTGTTCGTCATACATAAATTGTGATAGTGTTTTCAACGGATAATAATGTTGCGGGTGTTACATATTTTTTTATATTTTTTATTAGTGACAATAATGTTGCGAATCTGACATAAATTGTGATAGTGTTTTCTAGTGATAATGATATTGCGAGTCTTAAATAAGTTCTGATAATAGTTTCTAGTGATAATAATGTTGTGTGTCTTACACAAATGTTGATAATTTTTTCTATTGATAATAATTTCGCGAGAGTTACATAAATTGTGATAGATTTTTCTAGTGATATTAAAGTTGCGGGTGTTAAATATATTCTGATTGTGTTTTCTAGTCATAATAATATTGCGTGTCTTACATAAATTGCGATACCACATTTTACAGATAATAACGTAGCTAGTGTTACATAAATTATCATAGTTTTTTCTAGTGATAATAATGTTGCAAATCTTACATAAATTGCTATAGTCCTTTCTCGTGATAATAATTTTTCGGGTGTTACATAAATTGTGATATTTTTTCTAATGAAAATAATCCTGCGCGTATTACATAAATTGTGATACTTTTTTCTAATGTGGGTGTTACATAAATTTTCATAGTGTTTTCTAGTAATAATAATGTTGTGGGTGTTACATAAATTGTGATAATGCTTTCTAAGTGTAATGATGCTGCGAATCTCACATAAATCGTGATTTTTTTTTCTAGTGATAAGTTATTGCGAGTCTTACAAAAATAATGATAGTATTTTCTATATTTAGTAATGTTGCGTGTGTTGCATAAATTGTAATAATTTTTCCCAGTGATAATAATGTTCCGAGTCGTACATAAATTTTGATAGCATTTTCTAATGATAATAATGTTGCGAGTCTTACATAAATTGTGATAGTGTTTTCTAATAATAATTATTCTGCGAGTCTTACATGAATTGTAATAATTTTTCTCGTCATAATAATGTTGTGTGGTTTTCTTAAATTCTGAGTGTTGATGGTGTTACATAATTTCAGTTATTTTTCTGTAAAATTAAAATTATTTAGAATTATGCAGTTGTTCATATTTATTTATAATTGATTGAATTATTATCTTTAATTTTCTCCGAGGTCGATTTTGAAAAATGTTTCAATGAAGAAGTAAAAAAAAAATGTTGTTAAGGAAAAACCTTTAACTATTTTATTTTAAACCGTGGGCGATTGAACATGGCTTAACATTAATTCATAATTTATCTACATAACTGTAAAGTGATTCAAGTTCGAGTCTGAACGCAACTGAATGCTAAGAAAATAAAATTTATTCCCTTTCGTCAGAAACGTTACATTTCTTTTTACTATCTGGCTAAGATTTCAAACATTCTTCTCCGGTTAATAAAGAGATTAGCTTATTTTATCTTGTAATTTGCATAAATCCTTGAAACTAAATTTGTATTCACTGTCATTTTAACAGCTTTAAGCTAGATTTATATTTCAAGCATAATTAAAATTTTCATCATTTTCGCCTAAACATATTCGTAATTGTTGCCCTCAGGCTTATTGTCATATTAACGTTTCGACCGTTGTAAGTTCTGAACTTCTTCAGGTGATATACGTCCGAATTTCAAACCGAATCCTTTATTTCGTCCACTGGTGTAGATTGTTCTAGTTCCACATGCCATGCCTTTTCTGGATATCTCAGTTTCAGTCATTTTCCTTTAGTAACTGAACCCTTCAAGTTTTTGTTCGCCTCTTCTATGGCCAGGTATTGAATTCACAGCTCTTCGGGTCAAGTCACTGGATTGCTTCAACCAACGCTTTTTATCCACTGGGCCATGTGTTCGGTTCGAAATTCTAACCTATATACACTGAAGAAGGCCGGAGCATCCACTGACCGAAACGTCGTGAATATGACAAAAAAAGATAAGGGCAACAGGCCGAACAATGTAAATAGTGTAAAACATTTTTAAATCATGTTAGACCGTTTACCGAAAAAATGTAATTTTCTGCATCTCTCTCTCTCTCAACGCTCTAGTTGTTACTGTGGTTTCCATAGGAAAAAATATTTTTCAGGTGATGGATTTGCTAGCCCCGTGACGGTTTACGGCCACATCACGTTGAAACACCGGTTCCCGTATAAACATTGAAGTTAAGCAACGTCGAGCCTGGTAAGTACCTAGATGGGTGACCGCTTGGCAATAATAGGAGCTGTAAGCTTGCATGTGCAACCGATGTAATGGATAATGGCTCGGAATTGTTAATCGGAGAGCCGAGTTCCAATACACGCTGGCTTCGTTATACACACTTATGTGCAAATAACACTTCTTACCCCCAGCTATGGGTTAATTAGTAACACTTGTATCACTAAAACCATTATTATCGTAAGAAAAAAATTTGTACACAGAATATTTAGATTTCGACATTAAATAAGCCATAGACGTTGATATGACGCTAAACAAAACAAGAAAATTAACCTCATTCCGAACTGATTTCAAATTCAGGGGGTGCCTTTCTCCTATTTCCCTACTAAGATTCCCAAGCGCCTGTTTGCCAACCAAAGCTGAAAAGGCAAGTCTACTATACTATTTAATCTGAAGACAAGAGATGAATTCATCGCCGATTTCTTGTTCCAAGTCAGTAGTCATTACACCGCCTACACATTTGTATTATGTATTGGAATATTACAAATCTTTGAGAGTGATTCTACCGTTTTAACGTGTATCATTATTCCATTTTATACACATAGAGAATTGAGATCACACAACAAAACTGATGGTCGAACGATGACGGTATTGTCGATAACGTTAAATTTGTATTTATATTCATTAACTTAACTCGAGACAATAAAATCCTAATAGGCAAAAACACAAAAGACTGAAGCGAGAAAAAAATAGATCAAAGAAGAAATTTTGAACGTTTCGGCCGTTGTACTCTCCGGCATTCTCCAGGTGTCTGTCGATCCGAGTAACCTTCATAAAATCTTTATTTAATCTACAGGAGTAGATCGTTCTCGTTCAAATGTCCATGTTTAGGAATATTTCGTCAAGATATTATTTAGTACTACTCAATAATTAATCACTCTGTTTCCATTGAATCTAAATTTTCAATACTTGTCACAGGTATTGAACTCACAATCACCATCTCACCAAATCCATGAACCAACTCTTTAATCCACTGGTCTATAGTCTTGTGGGGACGACACACAGTTGAAAAAGGGTACAAATGCTGAAACATTGTGATAACAACAAAGATAATGATAATAGCTTCAACTACCGCAAGGAAAGTTGGTTCTCTGTGTCGCGCCAGAAGTTATTTTTCTCGCCTTAGTCCATCCTTCAAATCTACAAATCAACCATTCGTCCTTGTATTGAATATTGTTGCCATATATGGTCTGGTGCCCCCGCTGTTCATCTCAAGGTCCTCGACAAAATCCTAAGACGGATGTGCAAAGTGATAAGTCCTCATCTGACATCTCGTCTACAGTCACTTTCTCACATACGTGCTGTGGCTTCTCTCTGTCTTTTCTACAAAGATTTTCATGGCAACTGCTCTGACGAGCTACTTTCACTGGTACCCCAACTGAATGAATTTAAGCGTGCTACTTGTCTGGCATCTTGGTTTCACCCTTTCACTGTCGAAACATTTAAATGTAACCGCCTCTTCTACTTCAACAGCTTCTTCTCTCGCGCTTCCCGACAGTGGAACTCCCTTCCTCTTACTTGCTTCCCTGATAACTATAATCTTCAAATATTCCAATGTAATGTCAATCGACATCTTTTGATGCCTCAAACACCTCTCTTTGGTCTTGTGTGTGGCACTCCCGCCTTGCTTGGGGTGATAGCCTTAAAAATAGTCCAAATGTAAATAAAGTTGATTTCTTGTCCTAGAAATACAGACAAAAAAATGAGGTTCGCTTTCGCAATGAAATACGGGTTTTTTTATGATCAGAGCTTACAATAAAAAGGCATAATGATATGTACCTATGTTTCATAGATTATTATAGATTTTTATAGATTATACCGAAGAATTTGACAAGGCATGACATAAATATCTATTTGAACTACAAGGTAAACATTATTTATTTGAGAATGATATTCGAATCAAACATCCATCAAACATGGCACGTGGAACTAGAACAGTCTACCCCAGTGATCGAAATAAAGGGTTCAGTTCGAAATTCCTACCATCTGAAGAAGGCCGGAGCGTACAACGGCCGAAACGTTGTGACAAATATGGCGACAAAGATGAGGACAATAGTCCGACTAATGTAAATACTGAACAAAATTTTTATTTAAATTATTCGGACTATTGTACACATCTTTGTCGCCATATTTATTACAACGTTTCGGCCTTCTTCAGAAACGTTGTAATAAATATGGCGAAAAAGATGGGGACAATAGTCCGAATAATGTAAATAGTGTACATAATACCTCATATCAGAAATATAGACATACTAAAGAGCCGAAACATTGTAATAAATATGGCGAAAAAGATGGGGACAATAGTCCGAATAATGTAAATAGTGTACATAATACCTCATCTCAGAAATATAGACAAATACTAAAGGGCCGAAACGTTGTGATAAATATAGCCACAAGGATGAGGACAATAGTCTGAATATTGTAAATAGTGTACATAATACCTCATCTCAGAAATACAGTAAAATTTTTATTTCTTCTAATATTTTTTCTTCAAAAATCTATTGCCAGTAATTTTTTTTTTTCAAAAAATGTATAGCCGGTATTTTTTTTTTTTTCAAAAATGTACATCTGGTAATAACTTTTGTTTCTAAAATGTATTGCTGGTAATATTTTTTTACAAAGTATTTCTGGTATTAAAACTGATTTTCACATTTTCATAGTGTTTTAACCCCATAGCTGGGACTATAACAGATGCTACCGCCCCAGGTCAGGGGGACCTGGGAACATCAGCATTCCCTGACGTCATCTCAATGGATGCAGACATTGGTAGGCAGGACTGGGGGACAGCAATGAAGAACGGGTAAGTCTGGCATAGTGTTGTGGAGTCCATGATCTCGATTGCGGTCGACACACCATGATGATCATATAATTCAAACCAATAATTTTGCGTGGGATAGATAATTTACGGAAACCAATCGTAAAATATGAAATATGAAAAATACCTTAAAGAGTATCAGTAATAACAGCAGACATCAGGAAATACTATACAATGCTTAAAACAAAATTTCAGTAAAGCCACCCCGACTTACCTTCTGTGTTAATAGAGACATCATTATGTAAGTAATTTATCAGGGAGCTTCTTTATTTCCTACCCGAACTAATATTTTGCATAGACTAACAAAAATTATGTCAATATAATTAATTAGTATGTCTTTAGTATATAAATAATTCTAATTAATATACTAAATCCCTAGAAATCTTTTTAACTGAAAAGCCGAAAGTTAATCCGTAGGACATTCGATCACTTTTACATATACTATCTTTTATTTATTAGAGTCTTCACAGCCTTGTGGGTAATGAATTGTTTTCTACTCCACAACTCCTTCCCCATAGATGAAACGTTACTGGCCTTTCGGTAGTATATCGCTATTTCTATGGTAAATATTCTAATGAGCTATATTTGTTAGTTCCAATAACCTTTGCAGCTTACACCCGCCATGTCAGGTACACAGGAACAAATTGCCCTCATTCCCTTTGTATTCGATTAGTAAAAAAAAAAGTCCCACTTAAATAGCTTCTTCTACTTTGTAGAACAAACTCCCAATAGGATGTTTTCCTGATCACTTCAATCTTAACCTCATAAAGTCTCGGGTTAACCGCTATATCTTCTCATATACTGCACTTCTTATCTCTTCTACTTATGCTCATAAAATATTATTTAATAAAGCTCTACCTTCAGTAGCTCTTGGGCCTTGCATTGGGTGAATATAAGTATAAAAAGCGGTGTTTCTGTGTAGAGGTAAGCTTTAGTTCATAAATTTAATGGTTTGGAAATAAGGAGTTCATCCCCTGGTCCGGTTAGTACAGACTCAAATACGGTGTAAACAGGACCAACACTAACTAAACATTACTAAAACGAATAAGACGAGATATCCAAATATATGAACAGCGGAAAGAGAACAATCTAATCCGTAGATTAAATAAAGTGTTCAGATCGACATTTTCTTAAAATTACCTGAATCGACAGCCATATGATGATGGTCGAAGAGCACAACGACCGAAACGTTGTGATAAAAACAATAAATATAAGGACATTAGACAAACTGCAAATAATGTAAATAATTAGTTATTTGTTTCATATTTTGAATCTATGTATTTGCGAAAAAAATCATAAAATTATTACTTTTATACATTTATGCAACACCAGCAACATTATTATCACTAGAAAACACTACCATAATTTATGTAACACCGGCAACATTATTATCACTAAAAAACTCTATCCCAATTTATGTAACACTAGCAACATTATTATTACTAGAAAAAATATCACAATTTTGTAACACCAGCAACATTATTATCACTAGAAAACACTATTACAATTTATTTAAGATTTACATTATTATTACTAGAAAACACTATTACAGTTTATGATAGACCCACATTATTACCACTAGAAAACACTATTACAATATATGTAACGCTCGCAACATTATTATACGAGAAAACACTATCGCTATTTATGAAACATTATTATAGAAAAACAACAGAAAGGAGAATTTGCGAATAATTGCATAAAAACAAGTGAATACAAGTTAATATATCGACTGATAATCATCATAATAATAATCACAATAGAAATTAATGTAAAAGTGAAAATACGAATAACAAAGAAAAGAAAAAAGGCAGAAATAAATAACTAAAAAATTACGACAATCCTGAATAAAAAGTTCATTATTTAACAAACTATATATGTAAGGATAGCAGAAAATATCTAGGAAAATGTTATTTATCAGCGTGAAAATCCCATAAATAATCTACTGATCGAAATTGTTTTATAACACAAACTTTCGAAACAAGTAAACGTGACATTTATTAATTTCATAAAATGTTTTATTAGAAAATGAGAAATAATAATAATATATTCAAATTAACGTTTACATAAAGAAATGTTAACAAATGTTTACTTTATTACCAATCCTTAACATAAAGTCAGTTATTTTGTACGATATATATATATATATATATATATATATATATATATATATATATATATATTATCTTTTAGAAGCAA